GCGCTATAAATGCAGAGGTCGTCGACAAAGTTTATTACACATTTAAATTTTAAGTCTCCTAGCATTTCGTCGACTATGCGTCCTAACACCTGGCTGCCGATTTTTATTCCTTGGGGACAAGTACGAGGCTGATATAAGGCATATCCTACATTGAAAGCGACGTATTTCCTACTATCAGGGTGTAATAGGCATTGGTAATAGCTATTGTTCAAATCAAGTGTAGTGAAATAACGAGCATCTTTAAAATAAGGAAAAACTTTATCTACTTCTGGTTGTGGGAAACTGTCCATTTCAATAAACTTATTTAATTCTTTATAATTGACTACCAATCTAAATTTCCCGGGTTCCTTTTTTGGTCTTAGGAAAGCGCTGGAACTAAACTCTGACACACTTTTTTCTATTACCCCTTCGTCTAACAATTTTTGTACAGTATCTCTCATTATTACCATCTTATCTGGCTGGACGTGGTAAGGTCTTTGTCGGAATGGCACAATATCCTTACTAAAACGAATTTTGTAAGGCTCAGTCTTTGCTAAGCCGATTCTGTCTGTGACAACGTCGCTAAACTGTCGAAGCAGGTTTTCGAAGCTATTTCGTTCGACTTCCGTGAGCGGTGAGTCACCCAGATCGGGTTTATCACAAGTTGGGATCTCTCCTTCTCCTATCAAACAATATGATTTAATACTCTCCCTAAACTTAAACTCCGCTGTTGAATCACCTAAATTCACGGACATTCGCGCAAACTTCATAAAATCGTACCCCAATATTAACTGTAACGGAAGTTGATTAACTACCCAGAAATTGTAGTCCCATGACAGATTATCCATCTTAAAATGAACTTTGACTTCCGTCCGTACAGTTATCTTCTGACGGTTCGCGACTTCTACTGATTGATTAATTTTACTTGACTGTTTGATCAAATTCGCACTTTTCAACTTATTAAAAAGTGTTTTACTAATCAATGACCTACTACTGCCAGTGTCTATCAGCGATAGGCAATCTATATTGTTTCCAAACAATACCTTAATCAGCGGCAGTTTCGCGGATACATCTGTTGCTTGCATGCTTTTGTTGGGCGATAACTTTACAGTTCGACGTTGTGTGCCCTTGACAACGTCGGAATCTAGTTTAAAGAAACCCTACAGTTCCTAGCGATATGACCTTCACCTTGACAACGATAACATTTTACGATCCTTTCCCTGGGTCTATTACGTAGATCGTTTGACGACGTAGTTGGATTATGACGAGTTTGGTTTACAACCCTAGGCGACGAATTAATCAAAGGGCGTCGATTTGCATTACCAAAATATCTCTCTTCGGCACGCATTGAACTAGTGATTCTATTTGCGAATGATTTTAGCTCAAATAAGCTTTGCGGCATTTGACCGAACGGAAAATGACTTCGAACAGTTGGATTACATTTTGTCAAAGCAATCTCAATCACCTCGCCTTCTGACATTGACGATTTTAAAGCGAATGCGATAGATATGATGTGATCGACGTATTCTGAAAAAGTTTCATTCGGTTGTTGTGGTCGATCTAACTCAAACGATGCAATCTCTCGTCGCCTAATTGACGGAATAAATCTGTGTAATATCTCGTCGTGTAAGACATTCCAGCGTGCGTTACTTGATACTGCTTCTAAGAACAATTGGAACATTTGACCTTTGACCTTAGGGATAATAAGTTTAATGATCTCTGTATGACAATTCGGAGAAATATCAAATATTGGTTTGATGTTTTTGAGAAATGAAATTAATTCAAGTTTATCTGTGCCGTCGACTATGTTCAATTTATTAATTAATTCAATTACCACGATTTGATCAGTTTTGGAAAGTGATTGACTGACATTGTATGCGTGAGCGTGTACGTGTGTGTCATGGTGAGTGTATGTGAGAGGTCGAGTGTGTGGGTGTGGGTGTTGGGTATGGTCAGTGAGGGTGTGTTGCGACTGTACAGTGGCACTGGCCGGGGCAACAGTAGACAATGAACCAGTCGCTACAGGAAATGACGAGCGTTGTTGTGCAGTGAATATCTCCATCTCTCTCGCACGTTCGACGTTTGAAGGTTGAATATCCACATACGACGAGCTATTGGCATGACTGTTGTTTTGAGTTGCATTCGACGTACTTGATAGCATTTCAGTCAATTCGTGGTTGTTTAGGTCCATTAAACAACTATTAGAATTTTGTCTAATTGGCGATGGTTGGTCATCGTTTACGATCGGTAAACGACAATCGGAATTTTGTCTACCTAAATTAACTCCATTATTATTTGGTGGAATTTGTTCATTGTTTTGGTATATCGGCGCATTTAAATCGAGTAATTCCTCTAAATTCCTCCTTGACATACGATCGCGTCGATCATTTGCAGTTGTGTTATACCCAGGCCCAAATTGTCCGTGCATTTTTCCCGCTAGGAAAATAATTCAATTTACGATAATATATCTCACTTTAACAAAACGAATATTCCACGATGACAAAAACCAATTGACAATTAATTACAGCACAATACACAATGACGATGGCAATAACAATAGAATTTCTTATAATCTAAACAATTTCAGTGAATCGCACAGACACAAACGGTACCAAGAAACCACGCTCTGCTACCATTTATTTGTAAAGAAAAAAAAGAAAAGTAACTCTGACTTAGACTCTCATATATTTAAATGTTATATTTAAATATATTTGCTCCTTGCAATGCTCTCAAATGAATTCTTTACAAATGTTGGTTGCCCCTGGGTTGGAAGAACTCTAGAAAATAAAAATATCAGACAGAGCTTTTTGGCAGTGGAAGCTTGATGTTATTGAAAAATATGAGTGGACCCTGCAAAATATAAATATTCCCCAAAGGTCCTTAGGGGACGCCCCTGGCACTGTTTGTAGTTCTTCCAAAAAAGTAATACCTTTAATGAGATCAATTTACCAGTCTTAATTCTACACTGAATTTACTTGCTCACTACTACACTAGTGACTAGTGTTGCACTTAAAAGGTGAATCTTTTGTAGTGGCTTATGATTTACTGAATTACCTTTTGTTTATCAATTAAATACTATTGCATATACTAAAATACCAAGGTTATTGAGAACTAAAAGTGAGTAACAATTTGAATTTATTGCACAGAATTTAATAAATACACTTGTTTCAGTTTACAGTCGTTGTTGTGTTCTTTTAAATAAAAATGACCTTGAGATACACAATCAGTTGGAAATTTATTGAAACTGTTGAATGGATTTATCAAAGGGGAGGTATGGTGCGGTTTCACACCGATCTCGAAAGTATCAATGGAAGAGTGGTATTTAATCTAATGGTTGAGATGACCTGTACCAAGCAAATCCTTTCGTTGGCCAACGATTAAAAACGAAGGTCGTCTCGCAGTCCAACTGATTGAACAATATTGTATTCAATCGTAGTAATGTTTATCAGAATGTTGCTTTATTATTTTATAGCTAATTTGGCACTTTGGTGGTTCATCTATGTTCAAACTGGCACAACCTCCAACAACACTTCCGTATCAATCGAACCAGCTACCTGCTCCCTCCTCTGATAATAATTTATTTCCCCCAAAAGATACTGACTGTGACACTCTTTAAAAGAATTGTACCATTCGCTCAACAATGAGAATTAACAATGACTCTGTGTAAAAATTCCAACACTATAAAAATCTTATTAAATAACTCTGAATTGCCCTATAAAAACATTTTTACCTATTTATTCTTAATACTATAGGATTATTACAATCTAATTAATAAAGCGGATTGCTACAATATGAATGGATATGAAAATCAGTGATTTGAATTCGAACCTGTGAACATGTGCTTATTCTACATGAAATGACAAAACAAGACAGGAAAAATTTACAAAAGTGCGACTCACTGAAATCTTAAATTAACAAATAAATAACACAAATTACTTACAGTTTGGACGTCCACAAATATAACACAAATAAAGGGGAAGGGATTGGGAAATGTAACTAGCCGGTATTCTACAAGACGCGATGAATTGAACTCGTGAAACGAACGTGTAATTTTCAAATGGCGGAACTGCGTTGGCCGGTAACAAACTTTTTCACTTTTTGACAATGACACTGATTCTAATTTCCAATCGCGGGGCAATTATATCCCTTAGGGATATAGGCTGTACGACTTTAAGGAAATTTAAGATTGCCCGACCAAACGCCGCGAGATGAATTTAATTTCCACGAACGAAAAACAATTTTACCGAACTAGTTACGATGAGATTTGGATAGGAACTGGCTACTCGTGGGAGCAAATGACCACCCGGCTAGACTTCTCCCCTCTCCTGCTTTAGTGCGTGGTGCATTCTGGTCTATACTGATCTATTGTTTAAACCAGCTGACTGTTCTTCGCGTTACCCTGTATTGATTTGTTGCCTTTTTACAACAAAATCGGTACAATATTAAAAATATTTTTATTGTAGATCCATAAAGAAAGATTCACCTAAAACAAAACTTAATAGGTCACAGTACAGTAATCAATAACAGAAGCAGGCTGTTTAAATTCTATTTTTATAAACTGTTTGTCTATCTTTAACAACTTGACTGTGGGAATTCAACTAAGGTTAAGAGCTGTTAAATTACAATAATACAATTCACATTTAAAACCGTTCAAAAGGAAGTTTGTAAGCAGCACCTGAACACTGAAAGGACCTGTTGAAATAAAGTAAAGACAATAGGTGTGGAGCCCTAAAAGAAATTACCTTTGTACTTACAATTCGTCCTTGCAATAGATCATATGCTTTAAAATGACACCTCAATCATAAAAATCGGTTCAGTAGGACAGCTAAAAAGGGATGTTACAGAGAAAACCCTTAATAGAATAGAATAGAAATGTATTAGAAAATGTATTGTACTAAATGTAGAGACTTGAAATTCAAATGGAAATCACTTAATATGGAACCAAAATGAGCTCCAAACTAAGTTCGTAAATATTGGCTTATTTACACTCATTCAAAGTGGAATTGCATCGATGTTGTCAGGTTCCAGACCTATCAGAAGGAAGACCTTCTGTCAAAAAAGGAGACAAAGTTCATGTTCAGTTCCATCATAACAACGAATGGATTTATGAAGCTATGATTATTGAAATCAAAGCCGAGGGTCTGCTTCTTAGTCTGCATCGCCAGTGAGTAACTGAGTAAATATAATCTAAACTCATTTATCTTGTTGCAAAATCCACTCTAAATGTTGTAGATAAGTGTGGTTTGAATAAACATGCTAAACACAGTTTTAATTGGGAGGTACTATGTGTTTTTGTTGAATCCATTCGGCATGTGTCACCCTTTCAAGAGGCTGTTGGCATAGGAGATTTTTGCAAAGTAAAGGATGGTGAAAAGTTTAAGTGTCATGGAGTCAAGTCCCGACAGTTGAAATTTATCAATGTTTTTCTATCTTGTACTTACCCAATGGCTTATGCCTTGCTTTGCTTGATACATTCCATGAACACGCCTTTGAAGTCCACGTTGAAGCCTCTTTTTTTATCTATAATTACCTTTAATAACTTATACCTTTTGAACAATAGTCACATTTGAAAAGCAATTAGTATAGATTGTTCAAACTTTTCAAAATCACATTTAACAAATGCATTTTCAGCCCCGAGAAAACATTTTGTTGTTATTTCATTGAGTGTGTTTCCATAAACCGTAAAACTTTTTACCTGCAACTAATTTTCTTCAACTATCCTTTTCAATTCAATTTTTAGAATTGGAAAGATTCACTTTACCTTGATTATTGAACGTTTGTTACCTTATAGCCTTTGTTCTTGTAGAAAGATGTTAAATCCTCCAATATATTTCGCCACAGTGTGTGGCATCATCAGGGAGACGAGAAGATCTATTTACACATTTTATATACACACAGTTTATATACACATCACCAGACCGTACGCTTACGTCGCAGCGGCTTCGCGAGCACGGGCGCGGACGCGCGACGAACACCTGTTGTAGGGGATCACACTAGTACCGTCACCGTCTTTGTTCACTGACCTACTACTGCTGAGAAGGACCAATGGGAGGTCCTTTATCCGCCACATTGGCTGAACTATACATGCAGCATTTTGAAGAAAAGCACATACTGTCTGACAACAACCCCTTCTATAACAAAATTAAGTTCTATGCAAGATACGTGGATGACGCCTTCATAATTCTTAATTGTAACCAACGTCAAGCTACCCTTGTCCTCAATTACCTCAACAAAATACACACCAATATTAAATTTAAAATGGAAACAGAAAATAATAAATCCATAAACTACCTGGACCTTAAGATATTAAAAAATAATTCAAGCCTACAATTTGGAATCTACAGAAAACCCACACAGACCGACCTTGTAATTCCTGCAGATTCTAACCACCCATACAACCAAAAGCTGGCAGCTTTTCGTTCCTTAGTTTATAGACTCCTGAACTACAACCTAAACCAGGATGAATACAATAAGGAAAAAAAACATAATTCAAAACATTGCCAAAAACAACGGATACAATCCTGCAATAGTTGACACAATAATCTACAAAATGAAAAAGAAAATAAATAGAGATCAGCTTATCACATCCAATAACACCATTGATACTGGAACCACAAAACCGAAATATGTATCCATCCAATACATCGACAAAACCACAGAAAAGATTGGAAGAATATTCAAAAAAGCAGGATACAATCCAGCATACAAAGTTAAAACCAACCCGGTACCAAACTATAATTTTAATGTCACCACAGACCAATCGATAGCGGAGCAAAAAGGTGTATACAAAATCACATGCTCTCCCTGTGATAAACAATACATAGGATATACCAACAGAACTTTTGATAAGCGTTTCAAAGAACACAACACTGCCCATCATAATAATCCAACCTCAATAGTGGCTAAACATCTTAAACAAAATCCTACCCACAAAATAACATTCCCTGATTCATTGACAGTACTAAACCACACACTTTCCAAAACAATAGCCAAAGTACAAGAGAGCTACCAAATTTACAAACACGTAAACAAAAATGGACCAGACAACCTACTTAATAAAAAAGAAGAATACAACAGTTCCGTCATTTTTGAAACCATTTACAACATAGAAAATACAGCACCAACCGGCAACAGTGTAAATCTACGAACGATTTGGCAACCCCGCAATAGAGAAAGTTTCCCACCCCAACAAAGCATAGACTCTCAACCCGCAAAACCAACCCTTCTCAGCAGTAGTAGGTCAGTGAACAAAGACGGTGACGGTACTAGTGTGATCCCCTACAACAGGTGTTCGTCGCGCGTCCGCGCCCGCGCTCGCGCTCGCGAAGCCGCTGCGACGTAAGCGTACGGTCTGGTGATGTGTATATAAACTGTGTGTATATAAAATGTGTAAATAGATCTTCTCGTCTCCCTGATGATGCCACACACTGTGGCGAAATATATTGGAGGATTTAACATCTTTCTACAAGAACAAAGGCTATAAGGTAACAAACGTTCAATAATCAAATATTCTAGTTCTTGTCACTGGGAAATACATCAAATAAGATTCACTTTACCGCTTTACTTTACAGCACTCCAATGGGGTTTAAGGATAGAGAACAGAAGTAAAATTTTGTAATGCTTCAAACGTCAACTTATCAACTGTTCACGGACAATTCAATTATTGTTGATTTACTGAGTTCCACCATAAACTCCATAAAGCTCATTCTTTCCTTAATCTAAGGTGAACTATTAGCTACCAACAGTTGCTGGAAGGTATATTGAAAGATTTTGAAAATGTCAGATAGTTGAAGTTTAATGGTCATAGAAATTAATGTAAGCAACTCGCGTAATTGGCCTTTATGTCACATGTAGAAGTTTTTAAGGCACCCGCCAAAGCTTGTGCCTTAACATTCTACTTGTGTTGTAAAGACTATCTTTACGTAATTGTTGCATAAACCTCTATTACCCTGTAATTAACAATGTACAATGTATCAGTTTTTTTGTCAAATTTTAGGTTTACAGAAGAATATAGAAAGGTGGAAAACATGGGTAGGCGACCGAAAGTGGATGTGCGTTTTACTGTGAACAGATTTCCCTACATGAACATGCATCGAGCTCTGTCACTCATTCAAAAACACAAGGCTCTGAAGATTGTCTTCCCAGAGAAGAAGAACGAGGGAGGTTACATGCCTCCCACACGGACTCTTACTCTCAAGTAAGTTATATGTGGATGTTTTTTTACCTGCAACAGTAGGTTTGGGGAAGAATGAGGAGGAAGGTTACATGCCTCCTACAAGGCCTCTCACTCTCAAGTAATATCTGTAGGTCTCATGGTAAGACCTAGACTCTGGACCCATTTACTTTTTTGTTATGATGTCCCCCAATGGCAAAAAGCACTATCAATTCAAATTCGTATGTATATATTATGAAGTTTGTTAGCTTGATAACTCAAATAAAAATCATTCGATTTGGATGACAATTGGTAGAAACAGGTGAACCTACATGTATTTAAAAGAGTTTGGGAAACAGCCTAATCAGACTATGGTTTAACAGAGTTTATGGGATAAAAATTGGTTTTCCCAAAATAATCTTTATTTGAGAAATTTATAACTACTTTTATGTTTCTATGTCGATACGTGTATAATGAAAATTATAATCATCTTAAACATTTTTAAAAAAATTGGTTTTGTGGTGATGTGGAGTAGTATGAGTGTAAATGAAGATACCTGGGCCCTATATACCTTCCTCTTACCACTACCAAATCACGCACATTTCCTGTCGTCGTTCAACTCTACTGCAAGGAAGTTGCCTACCTCGTCAAAGTGCACAATATTACCTTAGCTGCCTATCACAGCCAGCTTTTATGTTATTTAATATATCTAATTATAATAGTGATGGGAGGATCCAAGAAAATGTCGGTACCGGATCCGGATCTTGAAAAACTTCGGATCCGGATCCAGATACACACTGTCATAAGGGCGGGTTAAAAAAAAACGTAATTAACAGAATGCCAATTTAAATCATACTTTTATTATTTTTATCACGTAGCTTCGGGTGAGATTAAAATACTAACGGGATATTTTTGAGACAAAATTATAGGCCGTTAGCTTATCATCCAGGTACAAAACTAAAAACTAGAGGTGTGAAGATATCCGAAAAATCGGGTCGGATTCAGTTCGGAAAGATACATGCCATTGCCATATATGTTATTTATTTGTATCAAGAGACAAACACTGAAACATGGCCTTGCCATATAAGTTATTTGCACCAAGAGACAAACACTAAGACATGACCTTGCCATATAAGTTATTTGCATCAAGAGGCAAACACTGAGACATGGCCTTGCCATACAAGTTATTTGCATCTAGATACAGACATCGAGACATGGCCTTGCCATATAAGTTGTTTGCATCAAGAGACAAACACTCGGGGGAAAAACGGTCTTGTACATGGATACAGACAGCTTTGTGTTAGAAAAAAAATCTGGAAAAATCGGAGTTGTATAGTGATACAGACAGATTTGTGTTGGTAAAAAATCGAGGTTGTAGAGTGATACATACAGCTGTGTGTTTAGTAATCAAATCGGTGTTGTACAGTGATACAGACAGCTTTGTGTTTAGTAAACAAATCGGGGTTGTACAGTGATACAGACAGCTTTGTGCTAGTAAAAATATTCGGGGTTGTAGAGTGATACAGACAGCTTTGTGTTAGTAAAAAAATCGGTGTTGTACAGTGATACAGACAGCTTTTTGTGTTAGTAAAAATCGGGGTTGTAGAGTGATACAGACAGCTTTGTGCTAGTAAACAAATCGGGGTTGTACAGTGATAAAGACAGCTTTGTGTTTAGTAAACAAATCGGGGTTGTACAGTGATACAGACAGCTTTGTGCTAGTAAAAACATTCGGGGTTGTAGAGTGATACAGACAGCTTTTTGTGTTAGTAAAAAATCGGGGTTGTACAGTGATACAGACAGCTTTGTGTTGGTAAAAAATCGGGGTTGTACAGTGATACAGCCAGCTTTGTGCTAGTAAAAACATTCGGGGTTGTAGAGTGATACAGACAGCTTTATGTTAGTAAAAAAATCGGTGTTGTACAGTGATGCAGACAGCTTTGTATTTAGTAAACAAATCGGGGTTGTACAGTGATACAGACAGCTTTGTGCTAGTAAAAACATTCGGGGTTGTAGAGTGATACAGACAGCTTTGTGTTAGTAAAAAAATCGGTGTTGTACAGTGATACAGACAGCTTTGTGTTTAGTAATCAAATCGGTGTTGTACAGTGATACAGACAGCTTTGTGTTGGTAAAAACTCGGGGTTGCACAGTGATACAGACAGCTTTTTGTCTTAGTAAAAAATCGGTGTTGTACACTGATACAGACAGCTTTGTGTTGGTAAAAAATCGGGGTTGTACAGTAATACAGACAGCTTTTTGTGTTAGTAAAAAATCGGGGTTGTACAGAGATACAGACAGCTTTATGCTAGTAAAAAAATCGGTGTTGTACAGTGATACAGACAGCTTTGTGTGTAGTAAACAAATGGGGGTTGTACAGTGATACAGACAGCTTTGTGCTAGGAAAAAATCGGGAAAAAATTTGAAAAAATCGGATCCATCAAAACCGGATCCAGCCCAAGATCCGGAATTTTTTGGATCCGATCCGGTGCCGGTTGTAGCTCGGATCCGGCGGATCCGGTAGTCCGATATCCGGATCCGACCTTCACTAAATTATAATATAGTGAACAAAGAAATAAATATATATCTGGACTTATTCTGATTTGTTAAAAGTAACTAGATTTAGCAAATGTGAATTCTAAATTTGGGATGACTTTATAGCAGTCGACTCAAAGATTGAATGGAAATACTCAAGATGTACACAACAGTTAGATATAATCAAAATTTTTTGTAAATATCTTATCTTTATATATTGATAGATAGTGATATTAGGATTTTCCACTGATTTGGTAATAGAATATTATATTGCAAAACATGACACGATGCAGAAGAAAATCAATTTTAAAATCTGAAAAAACCATTGCAAATACTTCATTTTGACAAATTCTGTAAATCACAATTTAACCCTTTGGCTGCTAAGAATTTTTTGACATGTTATCCGAAAACTGCTAAGGTTTTTTACATGTTTTATCCCTAAACTGCTAAGCCTAAAATGGTGAATTTGTAGAGTTTTACTAAAAATATCATAACTTCCGCAAAATAAAAGTTATTAAATTGATCTTTATTTTATTTTGTAGGATATTTTATTCTAAATAAATAAAAAAATAAAACATTAAAAAATAAATATAAAAGTACGCCCAAAAAAATTTGACGAAATTTTTTTTTTTTTTCAACTTTGAGACTAAAAAACATAAATAAAAATCCAACTCTTCCTGTAAACTCTATTTTTAACTGAAAGTACATGTTGTATTGAGTAAATCCTGAAAGTTGCAAGCAAAAATAATGAATTTTACACAGTTATCAATAAAACAAAAAAAAACTTACCGTTTTGTAGATTGGCGTCAAGAAACTGCGTAACTGTGGGTCCGGCATATATATGCCAAATAATAATTGTAAAATATAAAAAATCAGTTTATGAACACAATAACAAGAACTACAGTTAATATTTACACTATTTACATTTTCTTGGGACACTTTACTGGCACACGTGATTGACAAAGCACTCTGCGTGTACCCCAGCTCCGCACCGTACACAGATTGTGCGTGATCTTCTTTTCTTCATTTCAGGATGGTTTTCACCTGAACAGGCTCTGCAGAGTTTTTCTTTCCTTCCAGGTAACTTCCTCAGACCAAAGCCAACACGTGGACCATCACCACCACCCTCGTTATCCTCAGGACCCTGATCCTGCTTGCTGGCAAGCCATTCATTTGACCACTCTTCAATTACCGATCTCATGAAATTAGCCCTACTCATCCTGCCTTGAGTTGTGTTTAGCTTATACAGCAAATAAGCATTCAACACCATGCGGCCCATCACATTGAAAATAACTTTTTTTGAATGTTCCATGGTTCTCCGTTCGTCAAGGTACACATATAGCATTTGGTCGGTTGAGTCTATGCCTCCCATACCCATGTTATACTGGTGTGCAATTTTTGTCTTGTTTTTCACAATATCTCTTCCACTTCTTCTTATAGTGTATGTCACTTTTTTTGCTTCACTATCAGTACTGAGAATTATGAACTGAGATTTATTTGTGGCCTTCTCTCTATGGGCCATGATGAGAATGGGCCCTTTCCGGACATAAGTTTTTTGGCCTACAGCGTACTTCCCCAACAGTTGTCTTGGGAGGCCCACCCTATCTTTCCTCAACGTACCAGTGACTAAGGTTGTAATGGTCAAATTTTGTTAGGGGTAATTTTTTTTATTATATACGCGAACGATTAATCGCGGCGGTTCGTCACGACGACAACAATGTCAAACATGTCCACTGCAGGTCTCCTAGTTCGAGACTCGGCCGCTGTCACCTTGAAGCGCTGCCGTAGACGTGGTGGGGAGAAGCCGAGACCAGCGGACAGTGGACAGTTCTTTGGACAGTCGGCGGCGAGCGATAGGTTCGCGCACACCAACCCTTCTTAGGCTGTGCGAGCGAACCTAATAATAAGGTATCCGGACGAAGGCGAGAGTAATCTGGAAGTATCGTGTTACGTGAGTACACTGTATATAGCTAGCGTATACGTTGTATTCATCCCCGTATCCACTTTGGCGAGGGAAATTACGTTATTTATTAGGCTATTCTAGGACGTTTATCGTAGTTTATTATAGAATAACGTAGTTTATCGACCGACGCTGCGAGTGTAGTGTCGCAGTAGCCTACGCCTACTTTTAGTAATCCAAAGCGGTTTTGTTTTCTTTTAATCAAGAGTTTTTATTTATTTTCCTAAAAGCCAAGAAGAATTGGCATAGGCGCCTTCTAAGTTTTATTTTATTTTATTATTTACTTATCGCGAGTTAGCGTCGTTTTCTTTTAATTCCGAGAAGATTATTTTTTGTTTAATTTTGAAAAGTGAGACATTTCGTTAAGCCTAGGAGCTGGGTATTTATTTTATTTTCTAATCTTCGCCTAGTTATCTATCAGCCCTAGTAGTTAACTTCGACTTGGCCTTGTCAGCGCGTCGCTGTGCTGACACCAAGTTATAGGAGTAACCATATTTAGTGTATTCCTTAATAGCAACTCGTGTACGGTGCGTCGACGTGCCGAGGTACACAGTGTATACTTGTGTACTAGCAGATCGGCGCGACAGTAACATCTACGAAGATCCAGAAGTGGTAAGCGAGCGACGAGGACTGTCAGCGAGACCCTGGACTACTCGAGCTGTCCGAGCAAATCGGAGGTAAGTTTACGATAGGTGCCCTACCCGACATAAACACCTCACAAGGTTTGGTGTTCATACAGTAATTTGGCAAGAGACAAGGAAGTAAAAAAATTATCCAGGTACATGTGGTGACCTTTGTTCAGACAATTTGCCATCCGCAATAAAGTCATCATTACTGTACTGCCCAAGCCTGCTTCAACTACTCTTTCATTGTCATCATTCCTTTGTGCACCCTTGTAGCAATAGAATTGCACACAGTACTTGGTTACAGAGTCGCACTGCACCCACGATTTGATGCCCCACTTGTGGTGCTTTTTCTTCGGCAAATACTGAGTTAGGGCAACTCTCTTTTTGGTGCCGACGAGAGACTCGTCGACGGAGAGCGACTTTGTCGGATAATAATACAGCTTGAACAACCGATTTGCATGATCGATTATCGGTTGGAAACGCCCACAAGGATCGTAACCGGGTTCCCCATGTGCCACCAATTTATCCACATCAACCAAATGAAAAATTTTTAAAATAACCTGAAATCGATCCCTCGGCATAATTTTTGCAAAATATGGCGTCGCTTGGCTGAAGTGGGTGTCCCAATAACTCTCTATGCTTGGCTTGCGGATTAGTCCCATATTTAGAATTATTGCTATAAAAGCCTTCAATTCTAGAACGGTCAAATTCACCCACTTTCTCACTCGACTAAATGGAGACAATCCTTGCTGCTGACGCTGATCTGCGATGAACTTTCTGGCATAACGGTTTGTCTCTGTGACAAAAGTCTCTAACAAACTAAGAGTGAAAAAAAGTTTTAAATATTCAATAGGCCTTGAATTTTGGGGCGGGCAATGTTTAGGTCCATTCAATTCTGAATATTGAAACTGGTGGTTGTATCCCTCATCGTTCTCTTCTTCAACCTCGTCCCAGCTGCTACTATCCCCTGCATTTTGCTGAGGAGCAGCGTTAGGCCTACCTCTTCCAACACCTCTCCTGTTACCCATAGGCCTACGCCTTACCATGCGACCTCTTACACCCCTACCACCAAAAGGCCTAGTCTGTTGTATAGGCCTAGGTTCATCTACCTCTGAGTCAGAGGTTAGGCCTAAGTCAGGACGATCATCTTGGATTTCAGGAAAACGTCTAGCCCTCCTACCTGTTGATGTGCCCGGAATTGCAGGGTCATACGTCGGATCCTCGTCTGTATCGTCAACAAAAGCAGGAGAGGAATCAACAGACGATAGATCATCAATTGAAGAGTCACTTTCATTGTCCTCACTATTATCTAAATTAATGTTCAGTCCCGATTCTCGGGCAAAATTGAATATCGTGTTCTCACTAACTGGGGATTTCGGTCGATTTTGATCACCCATAATTCGTCAACTCACTAAAACACCAACTATAAAATAAACTTGTTCATAACAAACGTCGCATAACCATAGAAACACCAAAGCACTAAACTTCAGAACATCAATAACAGCTGTCTTCTCCAACTACGCAGATAACTCTGTTCCAGTGCAGTCTAGATCACAGCTGTTTTCGTTATTAGTGTACTATATAAAACTCGACAAATACAAGTGTTGTTATAATTTTTAACGAACAGTACACTTATTAAACCGTCATTTGCCGCAAACCGCATAAAAATAACCTAATATTTAGCGCCGTAAAAAAAAAATTCATAACAACGATATATCGTTGCATAGCAGTTCTCAGAACAAAAGCCAACAACGATATATCGTTGCGTAGCAGTTCTCGGCATGAATGCCAACGACGATATATCGTTGCATAGCAGCCAAAGGGTTAAACATTAACAGCTGTTTCATTAAAAAGTAGTGTAAAATTATGCATATGGTCGTAATGTAAACAAATCTGCTGAGGGAACTTAAAAGGCCTCTGGGGCAGAGCTCCAAGGAAATTTACCTCGTTTATCTTTTCATGGCTCATCTACAGACCAAGACCTTTCTTTAGAGACCCCTACCAAATTTCTACGCACAGCCGTTCTCTCAAATTAGCTGTGACAAAAACCCAGTTTTCCTCCATAAGAATAACATGGGATGGGAATTTAAAGGCCACTGGGGCAGAGCCCCAAGGGAATTCACCATGTTTCTCTTTTGATGGCTCATCTACAGACCAAGACCTTTCTTTAGACACCTCTACCGAGTTTCTACGCCCAGCCGTTTTCTCAAATTAGCTGTCACAAAGAAAACCAGTTTCAAATGAATATATAGATGCTTAATTGACCTCTGATCAGTTTGTTCTTAAGTGTGTTCATTTCCAATTTTACAGACCTTGGATAAATCCTTTGATTGGTACAAACCCTGAACAACAAATTGCTGTCAGAAATATTGTACAGAAGTCGTCCGGAACTGCTCCCTACTTGGTTTTTGGTCCTCCAGGAACTGGGAAAACTGTCACTCTAGTGGAGGCCATTACTCAGGTAACCTACAGAATGGTAACTTACTATCCATGGATAGTGCTGTCATGTTTGCCGTACAACCTGTGTCGGTTAGTCCCGTGTATTAATGTGGCCAGCCGACTGCCTTTTGAATGTATTTAAATTATGTTTTAATTGTAAACTTTACGTGTTGATGAAGACTTCCGTCGGATTTATGAATAACTCCAATTTGACGTTGACAAGGATTTGATAATGGGTCTTTGACTCGAAACTAGTCATCCCTAGACTAATTTAAGACTGAAGAGGGACTAAGGTATGTAACCTATTATATACAAAAATTAATTGCGATGCCAGTGTTTAGTTTGATTACCGCAGTGCCAAACAGAATTGTAGTTCTGCTTCCAGCTACATGATATTTTTATACTGGTTTACCTTAGCTACAAAGTTTCCACACAAGTTGAGAGTTGGACACAAAAAAAGGACCAATCATGTCAGCACTGAAAATTTTGTGCAAAAAGTTGTTAGTAAAAAGTAGTATTGACCCGATTGGTCCTCAGGTCATTGTGTATGTTTGAATACTTGTGACTGTATCAACGAGTTTAAAGCTGTCACTGAGTGAACTAGACAATAGTGAGATAGTCAGAGTTGGGTGTAATTTCAAAATTCAATCTTGGAATATTGCACAATTTCTCTTTAGGTACTGGTTGAGCCAAAGAACGATCCACATGAGCCCAACATCGCTACATCAGTTCTTTCCACATAGATGACGAAAAAACAATTAATCCACAGTTTTGTTCGTAGGTGTGGCATGCATCCCTGGGAAAGGCTGTACGTCAGTTGGTCTGTGCTCCGTCCAATGCTGCGTGCAACAACATTGCTTCCAGACTCATCAGTGTGCTGCCTCGCACAGCCAAAATCCTCAGGCTCTTCTCTATGTCATCTGATGTACGATAAGTTGGATCAAAATAATTATTCTTAGAAATGTTGATTTTTCTTACTAAAATACTTAAGGATTTACACCCAGTAACTATATCCTGTATGGCTTGTATACATTCTTCTATGAGGGTTGTTTGTAAAACGCAGCCAAGTGAGCTAGTTCAAATCTGAGAACCAGATTAAAGTTCCTTAGCCAGTTCTAACCTTTATGGGACGATTAGTCTGGTCATGGCATTAAAATTTACCCTTCAGTCTCAGCTCACTTCGCTACAATGGTAGCTTGATAGAGAACTTAATTTATGGTCAACCCTCATAATTTACATTCAACACTTTCCGTTACAGCTGTGACTCATACTTTTAGTGGATAATGAGTTATGACAAATTTTTTTTTGTGTCAAAACAACTTTGGTAGCCAATCAAATTGAGATATATTTTACATTACCATTGAAAATGTTAAGGGCCTTACGCCTTAACATTGTATTCTTTAAAATGTTTACTACTGAAGTTGGTGGTTTCTTATAAATCCCTTGAGAAAAGAGCATTTTTAGATGTTCGAGAAAAAAGGCTCATTGTGTTTCAGACATACTAGTAAACTGGCTTTATTTGTATTGTTTTTATTTATTTGGAATGGAAAAATACTTTATGTCTTTCACTACAAAGTAAACAAATTTATGTATGTTGGTAAAATTGTTAAACCTCTTTAAACACCTAGTCTTCTACTTTCTGTTATGTTCCGGTTTTGTTTGTAGGATATAAATATTCCTGAAGATCTTATTAACCATTCCAACTACAACAAGGAGAAGGGCTACGTGACAATGCCAACCATTGGCAAGATCCTGGAAAACCACATTGTCATTGTCACCATTGTGTCTGCAGGCAGGTTTGTTTATTAATTTTTCATTTACACCCCTTGAGATACAACTGTGTTCAATTATAATTCCCCTTAATAAAAAATAAAAAAAACTTACTGGCCAATGTCTTGCTTGCTGTAAGTTGTTACTCAGTGTAGAATATTTTCTCAGCCTTAGATAATATTTGACATTGATTTGACTCAAAAATGCCAAACTTGCTAAAAGACATTGCCGGTAATACATTTATCATGTAGTTTTCCATCAATTAATCAAGCCAGCTAGTCATAATCAACAAAATGTTATGGGAAGTAAATTAAAATATGTCTAATAATACTTAAAACATATATTTACATTTATAATGTTAACTCACAAGACGGTAAATATATATAAAAGGTGTAAGTCGTGATCAATTTCAATTGGACACTCCAATCATCATCAGACCCAATAGGCAAATGACACCATCTTTTATGAGTGTAAATATATGATCAAGAAATTATTTAACAAAATGTTAACTCATCTTATCTTTGTTTGAACCATTGCATCATAGTCATCCTCATACAGAAAATTATCATTGTACTCTCAGTATTCATTACTAGCTCTTCATTTTAATCTAGGAATATCTAATACTCTTCATTTTAATCTAAGAATATCTAATACTGTACTTCTGTTTTTCCCTATGATTTAATGACAAAAATATGAAGTAGTGACAAAATTAATGCTAATGACACCAAATGATACAAATGCTGGTGATGATATCAGGTGACACTAATGCTGATATAACTTCTTAATCAGCACAATACAGTAGAGTTCCTATAATCCGGCCGTTCAATACATCGTCCAGTAATCCAGCACTGTGTCTCCGACGATGAGTGAGTAAATTTTCATGTCTAGACCTAAAAACGGAGTGTCCACATTCCACACCACAACAGTAGTACACTGACTGACGTGTGTTATGGGTAGTTGCGTACAATGCGTGGCAAGTGAGTTGAGTGAAGTTAGTGTTGTGGGTACAGTCAATACTATACAATCTACAAGTGCAGTGTGATGCAGGGAAAACGTAAGCATGTTACGCTGACTTTAGGTAAAAACTATACGATTTTAGACCGTTTGGAAAAGGATGAAAAGTTGGCTCATCTGTCTAAGAAATATAGGCCTAATATCGGGCGTGCAACTATACACGACATAAAGAAGAAGGAGCAAATTGAAACGTTCTTTAAGAGGAGTAGTAAATAGTCTTCCAAGGTAAGAAAGACGTTAAAATCAGGTGAATTTCTGCAAGTAGAAGACACTTTATGCTTGGTTCATACAAGAAGGGAGCCGACACACGCTTATTTCAGGCGATATTATCATGGAAAAGGCAAAACTATTTTATAACAAAATTATGAAAAAGGACGACTTCCGTACAAGTGTTGGGGGCTAGATAAATTGTAACGGCACTTTGGAATTTGATTGCTAACTGGAGAAAGGATTTTGTGTGATGTAGAGGCTGCAGAGCCTTTTGTTGAAAGATTTCAAGAAGTTGTGGATGAAATAAATTTTGGCCCTGATCAGATCTACAATGCTGACCAGAGTGGTATGTTCTGGCGTCTTTTGCCGAAACAAACATTCGTTCATAGACAGGAAGCTAGGGCCCCAGGTTGCAAATTTGCCAAAGATGGAGTAACTTTTATGCTGTGCTAAAATGCTAGTGGCACGTATAAATTAAAATTGCTGGTCACGGGGAAGGCCAAAGAGCCAAGAGCTTTCAAAAACACACAGTTGCCAGTTTCATACACAAATTCGACAAAGGGATGACAAAAAAAGTTTTGGCCATTCATCTTTTTTTTCAGAATCGTTTTATGAAACTTATCAGTAAAAAAGTTTTTGTAAACACGGATATTGCCTCCAAAGCCCTTTTGTTGCTTTATAATTGTCCTGGACATCCAGATGATTTAATGGAGGACTTTTTAATGAGTTAAAAAGTAAGGATGGAAAAATCACTGCTTTATTTTTGCCCCCTAATGTAACTCCGATACTCCAGCCCATGTACCAAAATGTGATCCATACTTTAAAAACAAATTACAAAAAACCCTGTTGTACAGTGTTTTATCAAAATAGGGTAGTGTTGTTACAGCTTTAAAGGAAACCAACCTGAAAAATGTTGTTTTTAATCTTGCAAGCGCATGGGAAAAACTTTCAACAAAAACAATTGCTTGTTCATGGGAAAAGTTTTGGCCTTCTCTGGATTTATTAGAGGATTACAAAAAAACATCAAATCCTCAAACCGCAGTGACAACAGATGACAGTGTGACAACAGACGCTGAGCTAAATGACTTCAGAGAAGCAATAACCGAACAATTCATAGACGATCCAGATGATCTGACATCAGCCGATGTTACCGCCGGGTTAGAAGGAGCAGTGTAAAATCATGACAAACGATGAGATCATTGAAGATGTTCTAGATGGCAGAGACGTGGTGGAGGGGTATGGAAGGGCGGAGGCCACCACATAGTACGCCGACGCGACAGCTGCACACTCAGTCAAGGCGGATTCGGCGCTCTGTGCCTATGCAACTGCAATAACTTGGGCGGAAGAAAACGGTGCATCGGCTTCAGATATTATGACACTAAAGAGGCTCCAGGAAAATGTTTTAAAACTTTCTTTTAATGCAAAGAAGCAGAAAAGCATTACAAACTAAAGTAGAACCTTGATAACAAGACTCTCATTGGGATGATAAAATAAGACTTGTTATCAACACGTTGGAGAGTTCTTGGACTGGCAAGCTCTGTAGATAAATTATTCTGAAAGACACTCTCGAAAGAAGTTTCTGTAATATAATTGACACAATTTTCAATCTTAACGATTTGTAAATAAAGATCTCTCTCTCACTCTCTCTCTCTCCCTCTCTCTCTCTCTCTCTCTCTCCCTCTCTCTCTCTCTCCCTCTCCCTCTCTCTCTCTCTCTCTCTCTCTCTCTCTCTCACTCTCTCTCTCTATCAATAGACAATATAGACAATAGATAGATTATTGAAATATTCCTAGAGAACATTCATGCGTCAGGTACATAAAATGTACAGTTCAGGATTTCACCGCCGATGATAATGTTTTTGTGAGCTGTGGAGATATTCAGGATTGCCGCTGTTACGGGAGTCGATAATGATGTTTCTGTCACCGCGGGAGATACTCTGGATTTTACCCTAAAAACAAATGAAGATGATGATGTTTTCGCGACCTTAGGAAATGATTGTGGTTTTACTGATATCAAGCATCATCACTACGTGATGAATGCAAATTACAGCTAATTTATGATTTAAGATTAGTACTAAATTTAATACTGCTTTTTACCGGTGACCATGTCCATATCCGACATGATCTAAACTGAGTTAGAACACATGCTAGTTTAAACTTTATGATTTGAGGTAGGCCAAAAATATTGACTTGGTTAGCATATATTTATGTATTTTATTTACAAATATTACGTGAAGATTATTTTCAGGATAGTGACTGGGGGAGGTGGAGGAAACTTCCAGTACGTGTACATAGATGAGTGTGGACAAGCTTGTGAACCTGAGGCTCTGATAGCCATCGCAGGAGTGTTGACTACCAAGAGTTGTGCCAGCACGGGACAACTCGTGTTGGCTGGGGACCCTCAGCAGTTGGGGCCCATCCTGTCCTCTCAGCCAGCCAAGGACTTTGGTCTAGGTAAGTGTCTACAGCAGCTGATAGCCATAGAAGCATGAGACAGCTCGTGGTAGCTGATGACCCTCAGCAGTTGCTTCTGGCTATTGTCACCTTTCCCGTCCATTTTTAGATATCTTTTACCCACTGGCAGTGTAATGTTAAATGATGTTATCTACTAACAAAAAGGTCGACATTAGATAGTATAAAAGTAGACCCTTTCAAAACATAGACAGGATACAAGACGGAAAAATCCCCTGTTGTTGTGTCAGTTGTTTCAGGGTATCCGACCTGGACACTGGAAAAACCGGTATTTGTATGTAAACTTTGATGACCAGAAAAAACCAAGAAATTTTAATGTTTTAACATTAGCCAAAAAAATCCACCTAAAATCACCAAACTTTCTCATTTTGCTTCTTTGAAAATCAAAGTCTTGGGAAACTGTTACAAATAACAGAAATTGCTGCGATTTCAAGAAATTGTCCCTACCGCTTCCACAATCATATCAAGAATTTTGCTGCGATCTGGGGCAATCATAACGGAAGTTGCCACAATTATGTGAAATTATCATGGACGTTGCCGTGATTGCAGGATATCATAACAGATGTTGCCACAATTGTGGAAAAACATCAAAGGTTTTGGGACGATTGAAAGATGTGATCACAGATGTCCCTGCGATCGGGAGAAATAATCAAATTTTGCTTATATTGAGCAGCAAACTTAGTGCTGGAAATTTTGAACCCGGAAAACCCGGTATTGTCCTTGAATTTTTATTTTGATGAGACACTGGACACCCTAGTAGAAAATACCTTTGACGTTAAAACACACAAAATAAATAAATGTTTCATGAACCTAATATATGAATGGGTGCTGTTGCTTGTTTGAAAGGTATGTCGCTGCTGGAACGTCTGATGAATCACAACTCACTATACAAGCGCCATGAGAGCTCGGGCTACGACACCAACTACCTGACTAAGCTGGTGCAGAACTTCCGTTCACATCGGAGCATCTTGCACATTCCCAACATGCTCTTCTACGACAACGAGCTCCAGGTAAATAAATAATAAAGATTACAATAGTACATTGATGTATATGCTTACACATACAGTACTAATATAACACAAAGGGTAAATTTAACAATTAAAATCAGTTGATATGGTAGGAGGTAAACCCATTAGAAGTTGAGTCTAGCTAGACCATTCAAATCAGTAGAGGCGTAATCTTGGGATTAAAATCAATCCTCCGACTAACATATCAATAATCTTGTTCTCAACTCTATTTTGATCAAGTGTCTTACACTATTTCAATTGTCAACCCTCTAACTGGCAATGGGCAAACTCTGTTGTGGCAAGGCATTTTCGACGATTTTGCAGTCATATTTTAGAAAATTCATATAAACTAAACCAATAGAGCAAACCTGTCGAACCAAAAACTTGAATTGTTAGTAATATTTAGAACAGTACAAGTACATATTGACATTAGGTAAAAAATATAAATAACCGTTTTTTGAATTTTCAAATTTTGAAAGTAAAACTTTGCTGCATGAACAAAAAATTGTTTATGTAAAATTCAAGTTAATCAAAATGTTTGAAATTTAATCCCCTACATGGAAATTCAAAAAGATTTTAATTACCATTTTGTTTAAGAACGTTATGACCCAAAAACAAGAAATTGGCAAATTTCACGATTTTGCACTATAAATTTCAGACAAAAATCAAATAAATGTTCTCAAGAAATGTAGTAAATAGTAATTTAATTTGTGCAACTAGTGAGAAAAGTGAGCAATTGACTCACTCGAGAGAAATCCTTACTCACGAGCCGTAGGCGAGTGAGGAATGGTTTCTCGAGTGAGGCAATTGTACTTTGAACTCGAGTTGCACATTATACTTTTCCTACAGTTACCATAAAACAAATAAATTTGTGAAGAAACATAACCTATTTTTACACAGAAGTGAACTTTTAATATAACATTTAATGTGAAGTGACAAATACAACAGTACAACAGCTGACCAGCTGATTTACAGCCAGTACTGCCAACGTATTTCTTGCGCATACGACGTTGCCTGCATGTTACGCGCTCACTATTTCGTGCCTTCACGTTGCAAATCTGGAGTGAGACAAAGTAATTAGAGTGAGACAATGTTAACATTGTCTCACTGATGAGCGAATTGGCCACTTTGCTTTCTCTTATCAGTGAGAGAACATGTACATTGTTAGGTAACTGTAGGAAAAATACAAATTGTTGTAAAGGGAATAACATTGAAGATCAAATTAAGTACCTAAGACTTGTTCTTGGAAAATGACATTTTTTTGCAAATCTTTATAACTTTTATAAATCTTTATATTATTTTTCAAACATATAAAACCCAAATACCAATTATATAAAATGAAATAAAATTCATTCCCCTACATGAGTATGTTTAGTTATAAAGGCAAATATAAAAAAAATAAATATAAAATGCTGGTGCATTTTGCGTTGATTATTTCATGTGTATCAAATTGTTTGTTCACTAAGACCAAATGTTTTAAAAACGGGCTACATGTAATATCCCAAACTTCGAATTTGTTAAGTCTATGCACAAGAAACAGTTTATGTACAAATATTACTAAATATCATAAAGTCACAGTCACACTCGCAGATTCGCACTCGCGATATTCATTGATGGCAAAACAGTCAATAAAGTTCATAAAAAGTAAAAACCGGCTAAAAATACTGTCTCAAGTTTTTTAAAGTAATGTCATATTTCAGTCAAGGAACAATAAATAATATCCAACCTAACCATTTACAAATTATCTATTACTTATTTAATACGCAAGCAAGATTTTTGTGACAATTACTCCTCCGAAACTACTGAACCGATTGACATGTTTTTGGTGTCATTGGAAAGAGCGTAACGTGAAGTTGTACAGGAAACTTTCTTTTTAGGGAAATAATTAGAGGGTGAGGCCCTAGGGCCCTTTAAAGTTTCGTATTTCTCCATAAGATTAACATGGGAAACAAACATTGTTTTGAAACTCCAGCTGTTGTCAGAAATTCAATATTAATAATTGGTCTCCATGGAAGCATTAGAAAATTCACAATGTTTACATTTGCTTTGACATTTAAATGTAAACAATTAGAACTGTCAAATGCCTATTTCACAATTTCAGACAGCTGATCCAAAAAAATAAAATAAAACAACTATGTGGCAGGTTTATTTAATCTTAAACTTTATGATAGATTATTTATTATGAATCTATTTCAATGATTATGAAACAGATTTTTCCCGTTGCAAAAATTAATAATGAGAAAAAGAGGATATGTTAATTGTAAACAGTCAATGTGTAAGTTATCTATATGTTGTATTAAAAATTTTAAAAAAGATGTTGGTTTGTGTTTAATGATATAAGTTATTAATTATAGAATTTTCATTTTAAGGATTTGGCATATGAGTAAGCCATATAACACCATTTAACACCATATAACACCATTTCAGAGTTATGCCAGTGTTTGCCTAACTCTGTCATGTAGAGTTTAAAGTAGCCTACACCTTATTGTCTACAAATTGGCTAAAAAACTTAGGTACGGTACTTTATAAAAGCTGATAGCCTTTTTACGATGACTTAAATTGTAAGCTTACCCTTTCCCGTCCATGGGCAGTTTGATTGAGCAGTTTGGCAGTTTAATCTCTAACCTACCTGTGTCTGTGGTTCTTTGGGCTTCGGCCTGCTTGTTGTGTGCGACCAGCATTCAGTGGGCAAATCCTCGACTTTGGAAGTAACCTTTCCTGGAGGTGAAAACGGGCAAGTACCCGCAGCTCACGGGGACACTCAAGGGCAACGTAACTTTCCGCAGTGTGAGGGCAACGGTTTGTAGGTACTTATGCAAACCAATCCCTGTCTCTGAGCACGGACGGTATGGTTATCTTGAGTGTGGGGGGTTCTTCCCGGAACCTCAATTGAGTCAAGGGTGTCGCCACCTCTGGTGGATAGGTTCATCCGGGTGGGTCCCACTTCTATACCTGCCTCCTTTTGGGAAACCCTGATGGCCTGGCAGTGATGTTGGGCCTGACGGGCAAACGAAGTAGATCGGGTGCTGGGTCCGAGCCTGCCAGGGGTATCTGGGGATCTATCGCTCTGGTTATCTCTGGTTTCCCAGCAATGGGTAAGGCCTCGATCGGGCAGCGGTGTAAATGGGAGGTTGGGGTTCCCCCCGTCAGCGTGCTGACGGTCCCCTTCCTCCTGGCTTTCGATGGCGGGTTCTGCCTGTCAGGGACTAGATAGGTCCCGAGTGTTGCTTGCACTAAATGCGTCGGGGCGCTCTACCATGGACCTCTAGGTTTCGACCTAGTGGAACCCAGGTGGAGTGACGCTTAAACAAGCAGCCGGAATCCCTGGTTAGGATCGAGGGGCAACCCTCCTTCCGAAGGGTCTGCTTCGGCAGCCGGCGAGCCTGATGACCTTAAGTCATCCGCCCATGATGTGCTAAAGGTTGATGCGTAAGCTTCGGCCTACATCATGGGGCCCGGGTATGTCCTAAAGGATAGGTACCGGGTATGCAGTCAGGGGGCTTCGGCTCTCATGACAAAACGAAATGGAATGGAATGGAATGGCAGTTTGATTGTTAAAAATTAACCCTTTAAACTGGAATAGGACTGTTATGTAAATTGTGAGTATTCCCATTAGTTAATAATCTTTTAGTTGTCTCTTTTAAAATCATCGGAAATTATGACTGTTTTAGTTTCTAAACAAGTTATGTGTTTATAAATAACTCCTGTACTTATTTGCAATTGAGGCGGTCAACGTAAAAGGGGCGTATGGGTCCATACGCCCTTTTTACGCAGATCGCTTTATTTGATCCGCCATTTCGTGTAGCATTCAGTGGTGCAAGGTTCATCGCAATATCTTGAAAATTGAAGTTGGTACACCTGTTTTTGTGAGGTGATTTGATAGTCCTGTGCGATGCTGCTTATTTATATTATTAATAGTTAAAATGATGAAAGTGATGAAAGTGAAATAGTTCAAGTTAAGAAGAAAAGAACAAGAAAAATAATAAACAAACAGAAAAATAAATTTCATGAGGAAGTGAAACGTAAACGTGCTCTTGGCCTAGGCTATACAACTAGTAAAGGTAAAAGTGTTGATTCTAAAGTTCATTCTGTCATTGAAAACTGTTGTAGTAGTAACCCAGACAGCACACTTTCTCCTCAGGACATCCCACGGATATTGCGACAGGATATGCAAGATATCCCATAGTGGTCCTATGGTCAACTTGGGATATCACAGGATATCCACAGGAATGCGTAATGTCCCCGCCCGGGGATGTCCTACGGATAAGCTCACACGCATATCCGTGGGACATCCGAGGTCATCCCAGGGTAGTCCTCAGGACATTCTCAGGACATATGGGACTACTATGGGATGTCCCTGGGATAAAGTGTGGTCTGGGCCTGAACATAAAAAACACAAAATAATATCGATTTAGTATGAAAAGCTTAATTATAAGTTTAGTAAATTGATTAAATAGTTAATAAACACAAATTTTGAAGAAAAAAAAACGAGAAAAAAGTTTCTGGCCCAGACGGGTTTCGAACCTGGTACCTTCGCCTTGTGAGCCTCTTACCTTACCTCCTGAGCTATCTGCGCTTGTTGATTATGGGTGTTTTCAAGTTGTTAAAGAGTAGCCGACAGTTGCAATGGTCGCAATACTTAAAATATTTTTGATACTACAGTATAGGCTATATATGATTCTGTTAATCTGTTTAGGCCTCAAGTAGTTGAATTGTTTTTCTGGTAGTTGGAGAGGATACTGGTATTTGAATATAGATTATTTAATCACCATTAGATTAGCACTGTAATAATTGATTGTTATATGATTAAAATTAGTTTTTTGTTGTTTTATTAATTTAAAATTAGAATTAAATTCACATTTCACACAACTATGATAGAACTCTAGTTTTCCTGAACTCAGTGGTAGTAATATGTCAGTAAAGTAAAGTCAACCCTTGCTAGCCATAGTATTAACAAGACATATTTTCAATCTGGGAAACCTTAAACTTTTAAAATAAATTAT